CAAAAAGCTCCAGAAAGGATATGAAAGGATTACAGTATATATATATAAGACTATTGGACCAAATGAAGCCGAAGGCAGCATGCCACCAGGCAGCAGGTTTCGTAACCCCTGTTGAAAGACAGGGTTGTGGCTGCCAGTTGGGACCCCTTTCCTCATCCCGACCCCAACCTAGCCTTAAAACAAAACAAAGCAAACGGATAACAAAGGTGTATATAGCTGGATCTTCCCAGTGACCTGTTGATCCCCTGGCTTGAGGTCACTGAGGCTTGTAAAAGGTCACTTATAGGCTAGGGACTCCAAAAAGGTCACCGGGAAGGGAAGATCCTGGATAAAGGTGTGCATGTTGATTTTGGAATCTGAGTATCCATCTCGACTCTGGGGGTTGATCTGGAGGTTGAACCTTCCAGAAACAAAGTAATTCCAATATCTTCCCATAATTCTATCATCATCTATCAGCCTTTTCATGGCCGAATCACCTAGTTTGTTTGGGTGGATTGACTGAAATCCATGACGTGTCGTCATGCGTTCCGACTTTCAATCGCCACATCTCTCAAGTCTGCGCATCCTGCATCCTGCGCATCCTCTGCGGCGCTCGCTATCCTCCCCTCAACACCCTTTACGAATTAAAAAACAGCTCGACTCGCCTTGGCCGCCCTTGGCCATGGCGCGGTGGCCTCGTGCGGAGAACAGCAGCAAGTATCGGAACTTCTCCTCGGACACAAAGGCCACGGCGGAAACACCCAGAGACCGGAACGGGCGGTGACCGGAACCGGCAGCAATCGCACATGAGAAAGAAGAATGACTGGAAGTTCCACCGGCAGCAATCGCCCCAAACGAGTGCAAACGGGGTTGAGGAACTCTGTGTAACGGTGAAAGGCTCCCTGATTACAATAGGGAATGTGGATGCCCCCAGCTGCTGAGCTCCCTCCTGAACACCAGCTACCAAAGCTCTGTAACCATTTGGGTGTCGTGGGTGTTGTCTGGCAGTGGTGACGGGTGTCCTTCAAGAATTGAATTTTGTAGACGAGATGGTCTAGCAAGCATACTGAAAAGTTGCTGAAATATCAGAAATATAGATGCCGGGATTGCCTGCCTACCAAACGAATTAAATCCGTGTTTTTTGATGTTTGTTGGTGTGTGTGTGTTGGCTCTACCAGCGGGAGGCTCAAAACGCATGTTGGAACATCCATTGCTCCCAACCCGCGCCGCTGCGGCCCGGAGCACCGGTGTCACGGGTGTCACGGATGTGCAACGTATGCTGTTGCTGCGCGAACGCAAGCTTTGGTGTGCACATGTAAGACCACCATGACTTCACATTAGTATGACCACCATGTAAGGGCAGCGTGTAAGAAGTTCGGCTTCTGAATCGAAAAGCTGCTCATCTTTTCTAGCTACAACGCTTGCCATCCGTCTTTGAGGCAAAGCCCGATCGACATGGATCCAAACCTAATGTTTGTCCATGAACAAGTGGCCTTGAAGCGAGCATCACCTTCCTGAGCCAGTCCTTAGCAAATCCGTCTTCCGAAACTCCTGAAACTCACTAACACTCCGATGTCACTCGCATGGAAGTGGAAACCGTTTGTATAGGAAAACATGTTTTCAAGGACCAGTTTCCACTTCCAGTTAGTAAGATAGAGGGATTCAACTAGGGATTCCAAGTATACCAAAGTGTGCAAAGTTCTGGTGGAAAGCTTCCCCAGCCATCAAACAGTTTGACGCTGGTCTACTGAATTCGAGTGGATCGCTTTCCACACAACATCAAGGGCCCAGTGGATTCTACAACTATAGTAGGATGCAGGGTTTTCCAAAGGTACCCCAGATCACAAAGAACCCAAGGTTCCTTTGCGGTAGAAAGTCGTTTGCGCGCACCATCATCAGCCTGCTCGTGCCATACCATCAGGCGGGAATGATCTCCCTCCAATTGAATGGTCGGTTCACTGTGGCACTCAAACAACCTCACAGCAAGCGCAAAATCACACTCGGGTCTGCCCCCTCTCCACCCATTCTGCAGAAGCATGCTGCCCTTAGCCCGAACCTTAAGTTTTTCACGTAAACCACACGTTTCCGAAAAGGAACGTCACCGGCGTTCAAAGGTAACGTAAAGTAATGTTTGCCATTGTCCAAGTGATATTGATATGTTTGACATTGTTTGACGCTCTCTGCTTCCATCAGCTCCGCCGCTTGCACTCTTTCCACCTCACACGCTTTCACTCGCTGTCACAGCTCTTCTGCATGCTTTTCACCCTCGTAGGTCATCAGGAGCTTGGAGATTCCTGTACTCGGGGGGTCTCCTCCTCTAGGACTTTGGTCTCCTCTTGCTGATCCTTGGTGAAGCCATGGCGAAAAAACGAGGTTCCCAGCGGATCAACCCGAGTTCGGAAGCAATGAAACAGCTTTTTATTTTTTTTTCCCAGATTCCTCACCTAAGGGGTGGTGATAGGTTCTTTTGAGGGTGAGTGACGAGTGAGTTGGCCCATATGGTTTTTCTTGCACCTCCAAAAGCGCCTCCCTCGCAGCATCCTGGCTCAAGCTATAGCATGCCCAGTCTCAATGGCGTACCAAATGCCGCCCAGCAAGCTCAGGGCGATGCCAGTGAAGACCAAGGGAGCTTCGAAGACGGGATCTGAGAAGAAGACGATGCCCTCGAAGACCACCACAAAATTGGATAAATTTCCTGACTTGCTTTACAAATCACAAATTAATACCCAAAGTAGCCATGATATGCCATGGCAAGCAATCAACACAATTTGTATTGGTAGAAACTCCTTCAGATTTGCTTTGCAGGATCCCAAAAGACACAATTATAATATAGATTAATTGAATAAATTGGCGTTCAAGCTCGCAGCTGATCACACACAAACAAAAGCAACAACCAAAGAACCCGGGCCCGAAGAAACATGGTGTTTCTCCGGACCCCTGCGGTTCGGCGTCGGGCCCGACCCCATGGAGATCGGGCCCGGATTCTTAGGGTCATCAACACCATCATCGACCAGGTGTCCGAAGACCAATGTGGATGTCGCTGAGGTGGCCTTCAATAAGTACAAGACGGCCAAGTGATTCCCAATGAAGGCGAAAATGGAGAGCCCAAACATCAACCTGCGAAAATGAAAACTCGCAAGAAAGCTTTCAAAGGTCCGGTGACCAAATCTCTGAAACGCACCAGTTCTGATCCCTTATGTGGGTTCAACGCGTAGCTTGTTTAAAAGAACAGCTGAAAACACCAAAAAGCTGAGTCCACACCTGGATTTGCTGATTAATTCAAACATGAAAATATCTCCCCAATTTGTTGTTTTCACCTCAAACGTAAAACTTAATAAAAAAAATTAAACGCACCTGAAAGCACGTAAAAATACCAAGGCACATGATTGACGGATTGTGCAGCCAAACGCTCCAAGCTTCGATGAAGAACTTCTCGTTGAGCACCGTCAAAATGGCGGCAGGGATGGTCAGCAGCAAACCGTCCCAGGCACATAGCAAAGTGGCCTTAGAAAACACGGAGACAAATACAGTATAGGTTGAAACAGGGGTTGTCCATCTGGAAAGCCAAAAGCCAAAGAGACAGCTCTATACAGCAAAAACCAAGTAAATATTAGATAGTTTTGATCTTTCTTTTTTTTTGGGGGGGGGGGTAGGGTTTCTGTACAGTCTCTCACATGGGTTGTCTGGAAACAGGCCCGGCCAAGGCGAACTTCACACCCGAACTCGGTCTTGACTCCCGACACTGATCTGCTACAGCTACACCCGCACACCTCGCAATGTCCAAGAGTCCTGTACGCGTAGACAGTTTTTCAGTTTTTCTCATCAGCCCCCCATATGACGAGGCTGCAATCGTCCAAATGTGGGTTCCATTGACCAACAGTCTACGCAAAGGGCCGGTCTAATCGTCATGCGTCGGACCCGGGTTCAATCCCAAACGGCGCAAAAAAAACATGCGGCGGACGGCCCCACCCTGGGAAGAGAAAAATGAGCAGACCGGGTGTGGACTCTTCTTTTTCGAAATATCAGTCCACGCATATATATATATATATCTACACTCTATATCCCCTTTGATATTAGCACAGACGGGTCGTTCCACCCCATTTTCTAGAGGAAATACCAACAGGGATCACTCTATCATACGATCATACAAGCACCAAAAACATCACATCACCAGGCCATGGCCGAGGCAGCTGAAACGAGCCGAGCGGCCGGAGCATCTTGGCAATCGGCCAACAACATGCGTTGAAGCAAGCGATAGGGAAGTACTAAAGCCACCAAAAGCCCAGCGGACCTGCATGGAAGGGAGTGACCACAAGAGAAAAACTGGTATGTCCTAGTTTTTCAGTTCAGTTCGTGTTCGAACTTGATCCCCAGGGTTGAGGTTACTGAGGGACCCAAATAAGGCATAAAGAAGGGTAACTTTGAAGAAGCTGGGCATAGGGCACATCTAATGGAAAGCAATCCAATTTGTGTGTGTTTTGTGATATGTTTATGATGTTTGGAGCCTTCTTCCTCCCAAACCAAACTGTCCATCACTGTCTCATGGCCCACTGAGACGTGCCTGACGCCATTGGCGGAGAAGTCCGGATATTGTAAGCTAAAAAGAACCGCTCCAAAGGCCATGGTGATCAGTGCCATCTTCGAAGAGAAGGTCTGGTTGAGGACGTTCGCAACTCCTCGGAAAAAAAACACAAAAAATTCTCCCCAACTCGCCGTGAAGAGCCGAGTTCCGAGGAAGGGCCGTGAACCGATGCTTTCGGTGCTTGGGGCGTCCGGAGGGATCACGCGAGTTGAGACCTGGAATTTGCACATCCAATTACAGTGGTTTCAGAGTAGATGGCACAAACATGTACAAACCCCAAGATGTCTTTTAGATGGGGATCCCTGGAAACCACCAAACTTGGGGATTGTGCCATCTACTTTCAATCCACTGTAATTGGAGAGATCACCTACTCATGAATCCTTGTCACTTGTCACATATAAAGCTTCCAAGAAAAACATCTGGCCACCGAACGCAGGTGCTCTTTCATTGGAGCCCTGCCCCTCCAAAAAAGCGGTTGAATCGATATCTTCACCGATACTGGAAACATGATTGGCCAAAGCCCAAGGTCCTATGGCAGTGCGGCACCTCAAGGTCCGACCCATCTCCAGTTTTTTTCATCCAAGGCTCTCGAAGGCAACACCAATGGTTCAATGAACAATGCGAAAAGGGGGCACAGGTTCAAGAAGACGGTTCGCTCTGACAAGGAGCAGTACCTGATTTCATCTTTCTCTCCCTCTCTCTCTCTCGCGAGGATTTGGGGTAGTCGGACCCCCTCTACCTAAACTGTCGTTGTGCGGAAAGGGATTGAAAACATGACCCAAATGCGGTTCCGAAAACCTCTCCCTGCACTGCCACCAACGATGGACGATGAATAGGCCAACGGCCTTGTTCAACATCTACATAGTTTGTGCTATATACTTTGTGGATGAAACATGCTCCGAAAGGAAAAACCCGATGATCAGAATCATGTAGAATCAAGTGCAGAACTGGAAAAGGGATGCAGGTCCGGGGCTAACAAAGGAGGTTTCACATTTGAACACCCTGACACCCCAAAAAGAAACATAAAACAAACATTGAACCGTGAGAATCCTTGGCCCTTCCCTTCCATAGTAGGGGTCGAACCCTCCGCAGTAGTCAATCCCTGAAAACCCTGATTCTTTGTAAAGAATGAATGCTCCTAGTAGCGATGCCAGGAGCCCCTAATAGCGTCAGGAGCCCCTAGTAGCTTCTTGAGCCTAGTAGCTATGCTAGGAGCCCCTAATAGGGTCCTTGCTCCTAGCAGTAAGGCCCGGAGCCCCTAGTAGCTTCTTTTTCCTAATGACTGTCTATGAAGAATGAATCACTCTTGGTCGGATTCTTCCAATCCATTTCGATGAGCACTCCTGTCACACTCCTGTCTCTGTCTCGGAGCATGGAGACTTCGTGGTTGATGAGTTGATAAGCCACAAACCAGAAGGCTGCAGGGGTCCATCCAAAGAGCAATTGAGTCCTTGGCGAGTCTGTGAGTATGCGCTTTCGCGTTGGACGATTCCCAATGGCTGGGGTTTCAGTAGATTTCAGTTGACTCGTGTTCAGAAAAGGCTAGTTAACCATCTAAAACCCTCAATAAATTGGTTGTTCTAAAACCATCTAATGCTAAAACCCTCAATACATACGATGTCTCGGACATTTGATGCAAAACAATTGGTCGGAGCAACTTGCACGGTGCAACCATGCAAGTTGCATTATCACACTATTGGGCCTATTCCATTACCAGAAACAGTGGATGATGATAGCTAGTAAAGGTATTCTTGTATGTTTGGATGTATTTTTCGTGGACCAGGTCTCTGAGTGCTGCAGGACAAGGGATAAAGTGTCAGCTCGTAGGGCACTCTGGAGGGACTCCGCTCGCCTTGGTCGTAGGAGCGATGGCCTCCAACCTACTTGCGATGGCCTCCACCGAGCATAGCATCCTTGCTCCTAGTGGTAATGCCAGGAGCCACTACTAACTTCTTGTTCCTAGTAGCGATGCCAGGAGCCCCTAATAGGGGTCCTTCCATAAATGGAAACAAAAACACATGTTTCGTTGTTACCAAACACTCGTCGCCTCGATTTCACCTGACCTGTTGCTGCGAACATTGGTCGCTTTGGGGATGGAACCAACATCGGGAGATGTCTGCTGGATCACATCTCAAAGCCGGGGCAACTTGACCCTGAGCAAGTAGATATTTGCGGCAAACGGCGAACCTGTATGCCCAAGTGTCCCAGCAACTCTGCCAACTTTGCCTCCTTGAAAACGCATATCCAGCATTAAACGTGCCGGTAGCCGAGTTAATACCCCCTACCCCCTGGGTCGAATGAAGAAAAGCGCCATCTCCCCAGGTTTCACCACCAAAACACCCAGCCACGAGTTGCGTTCCGCTCGCCCAAAACGTCGGGGAGGACGGTGACCCATGGCTGTGGGTGACCCCTGGTGCGACCCGAAAACACGAATCGAGCACAGCAGGGTGAGCCACAGGGTGTTCGTTCCACGCCACCGGGGTGTGACCCACAGCCTGCACAGGTGCAGGTCCAAGTGGCCAGTGTAGCTTTTCACCGTGGGTGTGGCTCCACGGAGGAGCATGTAGATGTGGCAGCCCATGGTCCAAAGCATCGTGGATGCAAACCTCTCCGTGAACGGATAGGAGTCGACTTCGTGGATTTGTTCGGAGTGGGGGCAGAACGTCCTACGGCGCATTGGGCCCTCATAGTGTGGCTAGCTTAGAGGATCCATGGGAAGCATCTTTGAACTGGGTGAGGCGGCGTAGGACACCGTGGTTCCTAAATCAACTGCACCCTAGTTGTGGGGAGAATTAGGACAACTACTGGACCGACCTCCAATAGCCAAAACAACTCTTCCATCTGCGCGAGGCTAACACGTTCTGTGGCGTTCTGAAAATCTGGGAATAATAGACGTTCCTCTTCTGGTCCAGACGTATCTCTCAATTGGACAACATGGAAATATATATATATAATAAAACACACTCGATTGGACTAACATCAAAAAACAGAGACAAGACACAGTGAGCCGTCAATTTCAACTGAGTCTGTTCACCCTTTTTCCTTTTTTCTTGTGACCTCCCTCACCAATCCATCAGAGTCCACCAATGCCAGGCCCTCACTGACATACATTGGTTTCATGGGCGTCGGAGACGGGTCTTTCCATGCATGGCTGGGTGGCAACACATCTAGGATTCTGGTTGATCAGCACCTCACCTTGCCAAGGAACATGCACCTGGGTTTGACCCTCTTTGTTTTCTTTCTTTCGTGGATTCACACCAACCCTTGCCACACGGGTCTGACTCTTTCACAGGCGAGGAGTACGTAATTACAGTACCCAGACACTCCATGTATGCCATATATGCCTACATTCTACATTGGGGTGGTTTGAGAGGTCAATGTAGGCATGTGTGGCAGTTCCATGGAGTGTTTGGGCTAGTAAGTTGAAGACCGACCTGGCATGTTCTGGCCAATTTGGCCGTGAACCTCTGCGGTGGCTGGGAGACCGCGGGTCCCGAAGTTCCGAGGCACATGAAGCCGGCTTGAATGGCGGTCATGGCCATGGGCGCTGCTGTGAGCGTTGACAGCGATTGGTTCACCAAATCCAAGCCTGGGGACGGAACCATCAGCGGATGCCCCAAAATGGAGTGGTGGTTCGAGGGAAAATCTGCAGGAAACCCTTGTGTTCATCACCAAACCTCTGGTTTTCCTGTGGATGTTTGGTCGCGTGAAGAAAAGCAAATTATTATCAAAGGATCTCAAAGGACACGTTTTCACAACCCCCAAACTTGCGGGGTTCCGCGTCGTCACTGGCATCTTTGCCCATCAGTTGGGGGTGGTTGACCTGGGGTCAATGGAGGCCTATGCAGTTTTGATTGAACCATCCTCAGTGGATTGGACTGAACCGCCTAAACCGCCTATTCACGTCATCTGTCACATCCTTTCACCAAATCTGAGACCATCTGAGACCCATTAACTTGTGCCGGATATCCAGAACTCCTCGTTACTTGGATGTGCATCAACTTCCTGAACCCCCCAGTACATTAACTTCTTCGTCTCTGAGTGGAAGCCCCAACGCACCAGCACTGCACCCGCGAGAAAACGCCCGGTCGGACAGATCGGAACAGATCGCGCCCGAGAAACCGACCGTGAAAGCACAAAGAGTGAAAGGCACCAAGATCAAGTAGTGCTTCCTTAGCTTGCTAAGGCCCCGGTACAACTCTCACAACAATGGCGCCAGGCATGCCGTAAAAACCATGCCGTGCAGGGTGCAGCTGCAACACCTCATCGATTCGGTGCTTGGGCTCGGGCCAGGGAGCCACCAAAGCCACAAGATTGCAAAGGGGAGCCACCAAAAACAACATGAGTCCTCTGGATCACAGTCAAGCTTCTCTTTGCAGCCAAAGTGAACGAAGTATGCCCAGGCCATTGCCAAAGGCACGTAGAGCAAAAGATACACGGACACGATGATCCTGGCTTGTGAGGATCTACGGGCACAAGAGTCTGCGCCCGAAAATTGAAAAAACACAGCGGTCGAAGCAAGGAACCAGGCAAAAAAAACAGCACACCAGGACCTCAGGAGTTCCATGCGGGGGTAGATCATGCAGTCGACTGTGACTCGAGATGACTGGGCACCCCTAACACCCTTCAAGATCGGCACCCAACTCCATGAAACTGCTTGCATGCAACAAAACATGGGTCGATGTGTCCTCGCCAGACTCCGACTGGCATACTTATGCACATGTGTCCCCCAAATACCCATCTCCACCCCACCCCCAAAAACAACTCCTTCTCCGAGACCTTCTCCTATATCTGTTCCTTTTGGGCGGCGTTTCCCTTCGACCTCGCTTCCCTTCGGAACCGAACTGCGCTTCCACACGGTCCGGGTCGACCGCGGGTCGACCCGCGGTCGGCGACCAAAACGGCCGGGGTGCTCGGGGGTGGCGATCTCCACGTCCACGGCGGTGGCGAAGGTGTTGTGCGGCTGCACAGGGACCATCCGCGTCCGGACCTTTGCCTCGGCCCACCGTGGAGCCGTGGAGCCGGAGCGGAGCATCGAGGGTGCTGGAGAGGTGGGTCTGAGGGGTGCCAGATGAAACACGGACCAAGGTGTGAGGAAGGAATTGGATCGAAAGGAATCACTAACCATTCAGTACATAGCAAAGTTGTGTTTCATGGTGTTTTGAAGCCGTCAGCCATGGTGTTTTACGTTGTCCCAAGTCACAAAGGGCGAGAACACGTCGGAGACGTTGGCGCCCCGGCGGATGGTGGGGAAGCTGTACCTCCGCTTCCTGAGTCAAATACCGGTGGAGACTGTAGGAGTGAGGGTGAGCCGATCTGGAAGAATTTGCTGGAAACTACTAGTAGCTCCTGGCCTTACTACTAGGAACAAGAAACTACTAGTAGCGAAGCCGGAGCACTCTAACCCCAAATCTTTCTTCGGCTCTACGACTCACACCAGCTCATGGGATGTCCTGCATCTAATCCGAGTTGGTACCGTACCAGCCTTCGTGGCGAAGGGTCTTATCATAAGAAAACGTTGAAGACACTTATATAGTTGATAGAACTCCTTATCATAGGGTCGGACGCATTTGAACGTTCATTGGCTGCTGTTGGTGACACTTCTGACCCTCCTTTTACTTCACGTTCTCGCCTCCCTCTGACCCTCTGAACTAATTGGAATTCATCCATCTTGATCATCTGGTGTTTTTTGTTCAAGGCTTAGCTTGCCAATCTCAAACCGGCACCGATCCACGCCCCCTCCACCCGATCTCATCGGGTCGTTCCGAGGACCTGGCGAACGATAGAAGATGCTGCAACAGCCCGGGGTTGAGCTGCAAACGGCGCCCGTTTAACAGTGAGCGCTTTCTGGGTGAGGATATGAGAACGCACTCTCTTGATGAATCATGAATAAACCCCCAAATTTGCATTGTAAAACCCTCATCATATGGGGGACCGGGGGGTGTTATTCATCAAGGGCCTACATTGCTGATCATTGCTGGATGCTGACAACATGTGTGGCTCTAGCTGAAACTTGCCAAAAATTGAGTAGTTGAACACTTGAACAATCTTTCACACCCAGTTGTTGCCCCCCTCGCCACTCACAAGCAACACCATCACTTCGTTGTTTAATGTTGTTTATGCAGTAGGCAAACCAATATGTTCACGTGAACTCATATTATTAGCTGAGTTTCACATAGTATGCCGGGACCATAGCCAGTGAGACATCAGCGGAGTTGTCTGCGCTGCCATGGATAGAAACGACCGCTCCTCGTGTAGCTGCAAGTTGCGAAACAGTCTCACTCCGATTGTCCTTGGCTGGTCGTTCTGGTGCAAACAAGCGTTATGGCTGTGGGTCATGGCACTGGCCATGGCCCACAGCCATACCGACCGCCGGAAATATCGACCAACGGCCCTTGCAGGACCCTTTCGCATTTGGAGACCCATATCGTGTCGCACCCCTTCGATCAGCTCAGGAAACGCGATTTAAAAGCAGCTGCACCTAATAGAGACAATATAGTGGTGGTGTATGTGTGTATACATTGAAATAGAGGAATTGCTTTACTTCGAGTGATCACCACCATGATATTTTCCTGATTTGTTTTCATACATGGTGAGGAGCATGCTGCCATGGTCGTGGGCTTTGTAGTTTTGGATTTTGCTTTTGGGTCCTCGGGTTTGGGATTGCTATTTTAAGTTAAGGAGTTCGCGTCGGGGTGTCGCCACGGTCTCCAGTTGGCATCCAAAAGCGCTACCCTGGCGCTAGGATCTCCAGTTGGTGGTGTGTTTGTGGCTGTGTGTTTCTGATTGTGCTTGTGATTGTGTGTTTGTGGCTATGTGCTTGTGATTGCGTGTTTGTGGTTGTGTGTGTGGTTGTGTGTTTGTGGTTGTGTTCGTGTTTGTGTGTTTGTGTTTGTGGCAGTGTTTGTGATTGTTAGTGCGTTGTTCTTGTGGCTATGTTTTTGTGATTGTGTGTTTGTGGTTGTGTGTTCGTGATTGTGTGTGTGTGTGTGTGTTTGAGTTTGTGATTGTGTTTGTGATTGTGTGTTTGTGGTTGTGTGTTTCTGTTTGTTGTTGTGTTTGTGGCTATGTGTTTCTGATTGTGTGCTTGTGGCTGTGTTTGTGGTTATGTGTTTTTGTTTTTGTTTGTGAGAGTGGCTGTGGTTTGTCTGTGTGTGGTTGTGGTTGTGTATTGTGTAACGTGTGTGTTTGTGGTCATGCCCACTGTGATCTGGCACTTGCGGTTGAGGTCCGCCGGTTAACACAGCCATGCGGAGCTGGGGGTCGAGGTCCGGCGGGGAGGCTGCTAGCTAGCCGAAGCTCACGGTTGAGGTCCGGCGGGGAACACTGCCAAGCGGAACTCGCGGTTGAGGTCCGGCGGGGGGCGCTGCCATCCGGAGCTGGGGGGTCGAGGTCCAAAAAAGATAAAAAGAACGCTGCACTGCCATCCTGCGACTTGCGGTTGAGGTCTGGCGGGGAACACTGCCATCCGGAGCTGGCGTTTGAGGACGAGGCGGAGGAGCAGGCGGAGGAGAAGGAGAAGGAGAAGGAGGAGAAGGAGGAAGGCAGCTGACATTGAATCTAACAACCCTCACCTGACAGGTGGAGAAAAAAACACCAAAGACACCCAAGATCAATGGAGAGAAAAAGCAGAACCCAAGTGAAGGGTCTTCCTGACATTTCCTGTTTTGCCTAATCCGCGTCTCTTTTTTCGATCCCACCAGTCAGGCGAGTACCGTAAGATGTTTGGAGAGTGCCAAGAAGCTAGAGACTCTGAAGTCGCTGAAGTGATGCTCTCAAAGGGCTCGGCTAAGCCCTGATAGTTCACTTCTGATCTGGTGACTTTGACCACCGCTAATGCCTCCCCGTTGAACACCAGACTCAGCCAAATGGCACCCGAGCACCAACAGCGGCCTTTTCCGCACTGCGAGGCACCGGCGTTCTCGGTGCTTCGCGACATCTCATATGGAACGAGGAGGATCGGACGGAGGGGGCGACCGTGGAGTCTTTCGGATGGGCCCCGGGCGCGTCACGCGTCGTTCGGTCTCGACATGGCACGCTTGAGCCGTCAACGGCACGGCCAAGGAGACGGCAGTGTCCAGTGAGCCTGGTGGGTGAATCGAGTCCATGGTCCATGTGAGGGAGATGTGGCGACAATGAATCAAGCACAAGTGAAAGTAGCCCGTCAGTGTGATACTATGCTTTATAAGGCAACTCCAAAGAAGAGGTCGTCAGTAAAGAGAGCTAGCATGAGCTAGCCCTTACCAACACTTGCAGTGTGCAGGGGCACGCAGGAACTCTTGACCCTTGTGACCAGGCGGCTCGCCAGGTCAAAGGCCAAGCTGGCTCCAATGTCGAAGCCACACCTAGAAAAGCAACCGCCACAACAGCCCCAGCCACTCAAAACTCAAGGGGAATGAGTGCCATTCCTGCCCTTCGTTCAACCAGAAACAAAGCAAAACAAACAACCTAAAGAATCTGTCCTCCCAACACTAGCTGAGCAAAGTTTTGCCACTGCAGAAGTTGAACCTCCAATTGCCATTGTAAGGTTAGATCTTTTGGGAAGTTTCCTGATGCATACGGGTGGCATGGCCGTCCTGGCACTCCATTAAGCCACTGAGCACGGGAGGTCCCAAAAAAACCAAGGCCATCCCACTTTGACCTGGTCCTTTTGAGCAAACACACCTAAACAGCTGGCATGGAACAAACGAACTCCGTTCCACAGGATTCTTCTCGCCGCATCCTTCGCCGCATCGGGAGTAGCACTCCCGCACAACCCGACGAAGAACGAATCCTAGTTTGACCAAACTGTTTGGTGAAACAACTCACCAGGTCCTTGAAATCCCCTTCGGGCCACACCTGCAAAATAGCTATTGGACCCCTCAGTTTCCCCGGAGAAAAACACGATTAGGTTTCCATGGTCCATGGTTAAACGGTTTTTCCACCTGTTCGTACCCGTCGTGCAGATCGTATTGATCTACGGCGTCGTAAACTCACCGGTCGAGGCGACGCACATGGACACAACCTGTACATGCACGAAACAAATGACCGACAGCAAACACTGAAATCGAAATGCAATGTTTTGAGATTCTGGCCGCGCCCGTCCTCGTTCATGTTCGACCGTTTGGTGGGGAAGCCCCCCAAAACGGTCAAACATGGCTCAAGGATATCCACTTCTTCTGGGTATATAGGTGAACCTATGAGCATGTCAATACTGAAACGGGACCAATACTACTCCTGACCACGACCACTCCACGTCGAGTCGAGGGCACAGGCCGTCGTAGGGCCCGGTCTTTGCCAAATGCGCCGCCAAGGCTTCGATGACCTCGTCGTAACCTCGGAGACTTGGATTTGCTTCATTGAACCGAGAGAAACAAGAAACACACATCTCCACCTAGGCCTACGGAAACAATGTTGAGAATATATGAAATCACCTTCTTTCAGCCAAACCAGGGGAAACCCTGGTTCGACGACTCTCAAGTTCGACTCCTTTGGACTCCCAACGCTATAGGAAGACCTTGGAGTCCAAAATCACGCCATCCAAGGCTGAGGCGAGGCAACACAGGTGTTCTGGCTGCTGACTCAAACTGTTTTTCCCAAAATGGTTGTCTCAAACAACATCTGGAGCATTGCAGTAAAAGCCGTATCTTTAACATGCAAAGTGCAAATAGAAACAGGGCGAAGAATATATATATATATATATAATAATATACAGTAATACATAAAGACTTGAAATGAATGACATGGCGTTGGAAGATGATGGAAGATGTATGAAATTCCCCAGGGCTCCAAGTGTTTCCTCAGAAGGTATTATTTGGACCCTCCAAACCCACCTCAAACACCTTCTCAAAAGTTACTCTACAGGCCCTAGGGATTGTAAAACCTCAGCAGCCAGCCGTCTGAAAAGAACATGTATCCATTCTCAACCAACGCCAAACCCTCCCAAAGGTACAATGCCTTACGAGCTCAGGTCTGTCTTGGCACACTCCCTGAAACAATCAGCCCCTTGGAAGACCATTTTCCTCTACCAAAAGGGGTTTGTCCACTTCCTGGTTGTTGGAGGAGGGTATACGGTATAAACCTTATTACGCAGTTCCTATATGTGAATCATTGTGAATCTAGCCCGTTTCCGATCGGAAGACTTCATCCTGTATATAAATAGAAACTATACCAAACTTTGGTTCAAAAGAGTTCTTTCTGGGGAGACAAACGCACCTGCGCTGTGCCTTATTCTTAAGGCACACTTTTGAACCGCCGAGCTGGAGAAATGACAGATTATCATCGTGCTTCTTGGTATCTTGGTTTCCCTGCCAAATCACACCGAGGCACCAGAACCAACTTCCTTTTCTTCTGGGCCCAGCCAGGTTTCTTGCTGATGGCTTTCATCTAAGAGCTTCAAGTAGCTCATATAACCTCAAGCAACCGGCTTCGACAGCCCCCACCCTGGGCCCTGGCCCTGGTGCACGAGTGCACTTTTGCAGGGTGGGGAGGCTCAGTTCATGAGCTCCAAACAGGGATTGATGCTTGACCACCACAAATCCAGCGCAAACCACAAATCGCGCGATAGACCGTGAAAACTGCATGGTGCCCCAGCGTTGCAAGCAAACAAAAACAAAGCGAAGCGACCATCGTAGGAGTCTCCACAAGGCCGTCCGAAGGGTGCAAAGATCTTTTGCACGGCCGGGTCCCAATGGATCTCTTCCTCTCGGAAAGCGCTGGAGGCCCGATAAACCCGAGAGGAACCCACAAAACAACGGACGGAACACCATTCATGTCCCGCATGTTTTTTGGTCAAGGAAAAGTGGTCTTTCCAAGCTTAAGGGACCATAATTATATGACTTACATGACCACACTATCCACTTCTATGTTCGTGAGTTGGGAGTGTATTTCTTTGCGTTAACAGGGTGCCTCTCCCCCCAAAGCTGCACCTACGGCAAGCACGGCAAGTGGAACGGGTCCCCTCTTCTTGTAGATGATGGTTTGTTTCGGGATGGCCGTGTCAAGACCCTTACACTGGTCATCAGCTACAGCTACATATACCTCCTCAAAGGGTGACATTTCACCTGCCCTTCAGAGTGTTCAAAGGCATATGGACATGTTCGGGTGACTACCAACTGGTGTCAGGTGACAAGCAAACCATGAACTGTCAAACGAAGATCCAATTTCTGATTGATGGTGCCCTCCAAGTAGTGCCACTCCAAGAGATCAAAGTCCACCACCCATTTGAGATTCCTCAGCACGGAGCCCATCGCGCCACCCGTCACGTCCCGCGCCACCCGTCACGTCCGTCGGAACCACGAAGGAACAAGTGGGTCGGTCCGTCGTCCACGCACGGAACCGCACGCTTGGACCAGTAGGGTGACATCCCTTGGACTAAGGAGCCGCGACTCATTTTATGATGGGTGTGCTTTTAATAGAGAGAACCCCCTGGTCCTGGCTGGGTTTCGATCTATGTTCCTTCGGAACGCCTGATGTTGCCCCGGCAGGTTTCCCTTTTTCTTCACGCCCATGGGCTACACTCTCAGAATGGGACGGGAGGACTGTTTTCCTCTACAAACCAGTGGTTTCCAGGGTCCATGTTAGTTTTCCACAGACTACCCTCGTTTGTCAGTGGTGGACCAAAAGAGTCATTGGATTGTCCGGGTGGAGCCACTTCAGCACTGCAGGGACCTGAGTTTGCATGTCCGAGGTGAACAGCTACAAGCGAAGATGGGTTGCATGATGAACCCCTTGGCTGAATGCAGTTCCTATATAGTATACAACTCAGATTTTGTGTGTAAAAGTGAGTATATAAGTCACTTTCAGAAACATCGACCCAGGAACATCCGGGTCTCATCCCAATCCGGGTCTCATCCACGAACCGAGCTTCAAGACAGAGATCAGCTGAGTGGCTTAAAGACTGCTTGAACTTGCTTTTCCGCCATCGCTTGATTGGAGCCAGGGCCATGCAAATAAAGCACCTGGGCGATCATTGGGGTTCCCCCAAAAAGCACATGTGTGGCGCTGAAAAAGCACCGGGACACGCACACGGCCTCTGGTCCAACGTGTTTTTCTTCACAAATTACTTGATGGGTTGGTGGTTTCAACTAATTATTTAAACGCATATTGTATAATCATTATATATAGTCAAGTGGATGTCAGTGGGTTCAATCCAATCATACCAATTAAAATTGTTAAACATACGGTTTCTGAGACCATCACCCAGTTTTTACATCGTTATGGAATAAGATTTCCCAAAGGAGGTCCCCTCCTGGAATTGGCCTGAGCCAGAACCACCATTTGGCAAGCTATGTAATATACGAAGAAGCATGCGGGAGCACACCCAACAAGTCAATGACCACGTTAAATTTGTTCACATAGAATTGGAGACAATGACCACTACTTTATTAGAGCCAAGTTTTACTTGGTCCCACTAAAGTTCCGTTAAAGCCAAAAATAGTGTTCATGATCTCTTCAGGTGATTTGGAAGGGAATCAAAGTCGATTTTGAGTGATATTCCAGGTGTTCTTGGTGGTTTTGAGGCTAATTAATCGACATTGAAAGCAACAAAGTCTGAATGGTTGGCCAACTATTTAGCGTAACAGTTCCGTAACAACCCCCTCCAGGAGCTTCTAAAGTGCAAATGATCTTCCAAAACTGTAACAGGAGCGTAACAATGTTTGCAATATATGTAAGGAAATCGTGACCAGGATTTTTAAGCTTTACAATTCTTGATAGTTGTTTTGCTTGCATGAATTAAACAATTGGGCGCATGTAATGTTTGCAAGTTCTATGTGCCGTTAGTGCGGTGATGTGAACTCGCTTGGATAAAAGGGCTCGGGTTCCGACAACAAAAGGTACTCGTAAAACTTGTTCTTTTCGAAAAGTACTAGTTACTTGCACTTCGGACTTGCATCAATGTATAAGTATATAAGTTATATATAACAAGTTGCAAGGAATTCAATCAAAGCTGAATTCCGTTGTCGTCTCACCCTGCTCCTCCTCCCATTCTTCCTCCTTCTCCTTCTTGTGCGCTCTCCGTTCACAGCTGTGGCCCTCGCCTTCTGCGTGCGCTTGGAACCGCCGCCGAAGCCCCGCTTCTTGGGCATAGGATGCGGCATGGCCGTGAGCTCATCCTGACATCATGGTTATGTGGATGGCATGGCGGGATGGCCCCCCCCCAATGACGGCATGGCCCCACCGCTTGGATGACCATGTTTTCTGAATACCAAGTGATGCCATCGGTGAAGTTACATTCATTGAACTTGTCATGGAAGTGGAAAACCCCTGTTTGTAGAGGAAAATGGTTTTACAAGGCTATCCAAGGGGCCATGCCATCCACTTCCATGATTATTTCAGAAAATGTAGTGGCCGACTTCAGGAGCGCTCGTACACCTCCGGTCGATGCCTGGCTGCGACGGTGGGGGCGTCCCCATGAGGAGATTGACCCATCGGACAATAAAGATATCGCCCGATCTTTTGAAGATGACAAGATGTCGGAACAAAAGAAACAAACCATTCCCGAACACTCCATGTATGCCATATATGCCGCCCCATTGACCCCCCAAAACCACCCCAATGTAGGCATATATGGCATACATGGAGTGTATCCGATGTCTTTGTTTCATCCACCGAAGCATCTCCCACTCCTCGGTATGATTGATGGGCCACCCACCCCACTGATGTCATGCGATCGAACATTGGACCAAATGACAAGAAACAAACACATTATTTGCATCCCCTGCCAATTAGGGTGGTGGGGTCGGGGCCCCCATTCTGTAGTACAACAGAACTGGGGACCCAACATCACAAATTTACATGTACTATATATGTTGCAAGGACCCAACCCTGCTTCTCTACAAAATGCTTGGACCCAACATAGATAGTATCATCTTAAGAAACAGTAAATCTGCACTACAAAAGTCGTGGGACCCAATCTCTATGTTGTCAATGTTTTTGACTACAAAATGGTATGAACCCGCTTTTGAGTCACCAAAATGCTGCATAAATTTGCACTACATTATGGACGTACCCAACATCGGATATAATCATCTTGAAATGACAAATCTGCACTACAAAATTGCAGGGACCCATCCTCTATATCTCAGCATCAAGGCCTTGCGCTACGAAATCCTCATCTCTACAACAAGAGGTGCCTCAACCTCTGTTTTTTGCAAAATATTAAAAACACCTCAACGTAGTGGACTTGAGACACCCCATTTCATACAGGAAATCAGAACGAGGATTTATTTGCAAATATGTATCATTATCTGAGATTCTTTGATTATTTTCTTACTCTAAGAATCCGGACCCTCAAATGGGAAGGGTTTTGAGGGTCCAAAACCCCTGCTATGAAAATGTCCGACGGCTGCCAATTCTTGTAGGGTAAGATGATGCAAGATCCATTCCGCTTCATTCCGCTTCAAGTCTCCCAAAGGACTTTGGCCCTCCAATACCAAGTGGCTGGGCTGCGGAGCTTCCGAAGCTCCACCAGCTTGGGCCCTTCCTGGCCTTCCGCCTCCTCCAGGTCATCGAAGTCCATGGCGGCAAGCCGCGGTGGGGGAGAGGAGTTTCGTATGTGAACAGTCAAGAGAATGTCTTGAAGTACCTGCCAGATCCATGAGTCCATGAGGCCTGAGAAGGAGCTGCTTTGTTGCGCATCTGGGACAAATGGAAAAATATTGCGTGAAAGCTTCCAAAGTGTGATGGAAAAGAAAGAAAACACTTCCTCTAGCTTTGGGACTCCCCACAGTGACATTTCCTTCTGTATCTGCCTGTTGGGCTGAGGTTACGTTTAAAGGTGTTAGACATCTCTAACTGCCCTCCAACCAAGCCTGACAAGGTCAGGGGTGCTGTCTAAAGATCCATCCCAACCAGCCAAAGTGAAACTGATTTTGGTTGACCAAAGGCGACATGTTCTTCATCGATGCTGAAAAGCTGGTTGTTTCATGTTGTTTCAAGCTAGCTGCTAGCTTGCTAGCGCCTGTTGCAGTCGTGTAAAACTTTGGCCGAAGCTCATGCACATCCTTCGGGCCAAATGGCAGGACAGTGTCCTTCCTCTGCCTTCCGCTTCACCATGGACGGCCCGTTCTGGACCAGTTTTGGTCGCCAAGCATCGAGTCCCCGCCGTCCCCTGAGGCGATTGGGGTCTTCTTGGCGATCGACACGCCATCCTAAAGAAACAAATTGTGAACCATTGCTTGTCTCGCAAACCTCACTCAAGTTCGACCAAAGCTTGCCATGAGTGACTCATGAGTGCCTCAAGATATAGTGTAGTTACAAGTAGTTGAAATATGTTGAATTTTTTAAGTTAGTTGTTGCTGTAAACTCAAACAGCCATCCATTCATGTCGGTTCACGTGGAGCCCGGCTCACACAGTGCCAGTCGCCCTACGTAGCACTCACTTGTTGGACTTCATCGCGGTGGACTTGGCTTTTGCCTCCCAAGTCCACGGATTGTGGAAACACATGTCAGGTCCTCCTCACCGGACATGTCATATACAACTTCAATCACTTCTGGGCCATTCAACAATTTCGTAGGGAGTAGTTCCAGTGAACCTTGGTCCTTGGCCAAGATCTTCAGAAGTCTTGCATGGTTTGAGGTTCCCTCACGCTTGTCCAAGAGCGTCAACGGGGATTCTTTGGGTCATTTTGAGGGTCCAAAGAGCTTTTTGGGCGTCGACCGTTGAAACGCGCTCCTGAGATCTCTTTTTCAGACTCTGAGTGAGTGGATAGAATCCTGACATCGGCATCATGCCCCTTTTTTGCACCTTTGCACCCCTAAAGGAGTCATCCATTGTATTTCTGGTGAACCGATTTCCGCTGAACCGTCCGCCCCAGTCGAGTCCCTGTCAAGTGGTCGCTGGTCCAGTCGCATCCCAGAACTCCAAAAGTGGTCGGTGTTCGGTGGAGAAATGATTCCCGGTGAAATTCACCTGACCACCCTTGGGGGGCGTCATTTTGTATCTAAACTTGTATATAGATGTTCAGGGAATGACATAATATAACATTACATATATATATATATATGTCAGGGTAGTTTGGCCTGCTTGCTGGGCATGGGGGTGACCGGAAGAATCGAGATGCAGTCATGCTTGCCTGCCTACATGCATATGGTGCAACATCTTCTTGCAGTGATGTGCTACAATGGTCATTGAAATGGTTGGCTCAGGGTTGCCATGAGCAGTCGGGACCGCCGTGTCTTCGGTCAGAATGCTGCGGGACCGGCACAGCAGGGGTGTAATTTCACAGCATGCAGTTGGATGCTGCAACGCATTCCTGCGCTGCACACTACGAAGGATGCCCTTCCTTCCATTCTGAGATACTTCCCCTAAAACCGCGAGCTATCACCCTATTCAATTTGCAAACACGCGATAACTTCTTCGAGGCCGTGCCAAAGCTTAGGGCAAATCACGCCTGCCCACCGCCCCCAGTGACGTAGGAGTCAAGGAAAAGCGCCTTAGATTTGGCTTTGGGCGCCGCCTTGGCCTTGCCCTTCATCGCCTTCTTGGACTTGAAGGCCAAAACGCTAAACTCCGAGGTCTTCGCATACCTCACTTCCGACACGTGTCGGGGCTGATGGAGTTCGGCCATGGAAGACGATATACTGCTGCAAGGGGCCGTTGTTGTCGCTCCAAATGGCTTCGTGTTTGTTGAATGAGTTTGATGGGGAACATGACATGGATACCCCGAGCTCACTCCCCGGCATCCTCCGAATCGCTCCCTGCTGAGCTAGTCAGCTAGTAAGACGACCAGTGGCTTGCTCCAAATGGCCGCCGGCAGGTCCTTCTTCGAGACGTGCTCCGTCTTTCCTCGAAGGTCCGAGAATTCGTCCGAACACACCGCAGTCACTGTGGCCGGCTATGTAAAACATCTACAGCCTCTTCCCCATGCCAGGGGATTTACCCAGCCCATGCCACGGAATGGATCCAAAGGATCAAAGAGTGGGAATATCTTGGGAATGGGCCGCGTGTTGCTTTCTGGTGATCAAACAGGACAAGCATGGGGCTAGGCGGCTAGGCCTAGAACAACCCCAGGTGTCCAGTAAGACATGTATTGGGTCCACCCAAAGCCGACACGGCCAATGATGGCTCAAGCAGCTTGGGAGCCGATTTTGGCCACACCAAATGCAAGAATATCCTTAACGGTATCGGTATCGTATCGGATACAAACCACGATTCACTCAAAGTCCTCCTATACCCATCCACCTTGGCAAACTGATCCCATCCTGCACACTCAAAATAGAAAGGCTTGCATCTTCCGACGCTGCATCGCTCTGGCAACGCAAAAAGTAAGGCATAGTTCGCTATGCGTCTCATGCTTTTCTTGACCTCGTAGTTGTCGGTGATGATCTCCATACTGCTTCGCTCCTTCATGGCTTTTTCCTGCAACATCAGCAGTGTTGACTGCTATAAGAAATATGGCAGTTTTGACGGGTGGCAGTCCAGTCAAGAATTCAAAAAAAGGAAAAACACGTGGGGATCAAAAGCAATAAATATTGTTATCTTGTCCCTTTCTTTCTTCGTGGCCTTTTAACATCTTTTAACTACTACCCTTCGGAGGTCTCCATACACAGCCATCTGGGTGGTCGAATGCGACGGTGGCCGATCCAGGAGCCACCCGAGCGAGCAGCTCGATCCCTGAAGCCGATACGCCCACTACGTAGCAACATAGGGAGATCTCCAAACAGGACACCCCGGCCCAGGTACTGCTCCAGGTATATGAATTAGATATGTGACAGTGTAAGAATTTATCCCTCTTGTCTTGGATGTTTGTCTTGCTCTAAGAATCCGGACTTTCACATGGGAAGGGCTTCGAGGGTACCAACCCTTGTTGTAGAGGGTTCGACCCCTTGCTTTGGAAGGTCCAAGGATCCTTAGGGTAAGCCCGATCCGCAAAACGAGCCACCCCTCCTCCATCCTCCACTTGCTCAGCCCTCGCCCTCCCCGTCCAAAGCCCAAGTTTTCAAATAGAAGGGGGGGGTGATGTGTCATGTGGCCATCCACTGGAAACGCAGTGGGTAGCCACTTGTATAGCCACCAGTTCCCCCAAAAAACAAATGCATTCATGGGATTCACAGGATGTAACTAATCTATTCTTTGCCACAAGATTTGCTTGACTCAAAGCAAGAAGGATCAACATGTGTTGTTGTTTCTCAATGGTTTTGCCTAGCTGATTTACAACAGTCAAAGTTTCAAAACCAGCACCCGACCCTACAAAACAAAACTCTGTATAATCAACACAATCAACAAGTACTTATTTGTTATACACAACTCTCAAGGAGTATAAGAACACCTTTGGCATCAGAAAACATTGATCTGGCAGCCCGCCATAGATCTCCATAGTAGGGTCCCGAGCCCTAGGCACGTGTACAATTCCATGGCTGGGAGAATAGAAGTCTTCCCACCGAGTCTTCCCAAAGTCCTAGGCCCTAGGCTCAGGTTAATTTTGAGGTTTTTAGCTTCGGCCAACTGAAAATAAGGCCTCAACATGGCTTGAATGTTGGTGTAAGTGTGTCACGAGTGTGGGTTTCATCAATTCCCGATACTGTCAAAAAATCACAAACATCCCTGCAACATGTCCGTCCATGTCCTGCAAAAAGGGTTGACCTGTTGGTCCTATTCATTTCATCAGAGCCTTCTGACTCCTTCCACTGCCCTGGAAGATACAACTTGTCAGCGTTGAGTCGGGAACACATGGGAAACCCAATCTCCAAAAGGAAATCAAAATCAAGACATGTTAACAGATTTTCCACTGACGAGGTAGGCCTTGTCATGTTTCATCCCACTGAACCTCGTGGTGAGTTCGATCGTCGGTAGGCCAAAGGGTTTACGGTAAAAGCGCGTGACGCAGGCCAATGGTTTGACCGTCCAATTTGAGCAAATCTACCCCAAACACTCCATGTATGCCATATATGCCGCCCCATTGACCCCCCAAACCACCCCAACTGATCGGCATATATATGGCATACATGGAGTGTCACGGCGTGCGTGTTTTGATCGTCGAAAACTCGATCTGCACTACTCGATCTGTGTTCCATCCCTCCGTCCCATGAAATCCAGTGACGAGAGGCGATCTGAGTTTTGCACATTTCAATGGTCTTTTTCCTTAGTGTCCAATTCTGCCGGAAGGCCAAGTTATTGACACTTGAAATGACTGCAGGAGTGTCCGGGTTCCTACAAAGCTCCCCATTTCCTGAGGAGCTTCCCCATGCTCTGCAGGACATCCCTGCTTCCTTTAGATAGACTCAACAATTGCCAATATGACCCCATAAAAAGGCCTCTGCATATATGTTCTGGCCGTCCCAAGTGCTACGCAAGGAGTTTGGGGATGGAGTTCTAATTTGATCTAATATGATCTAATTTATGTTGCTGTGAGCCACGGTGACATTTTATGAATTTTTAACCAAATCAACGGATTAATTCTATTGTTGATTGTTTTTGCCAGTGGCACGGAGAAAAACATCCTTCAGCGTAACGAATTGCGGTTCTGCGAGGCATCTTCCTGCAGACTCAACCACCGGTTACGTGGTCAGGTATTGCACTGTGTATTCTGAAAGCATATAAAACAAACGTATTGTCTTACCAAGCTTCATGGCAGCTTCCTCGCCCTTGGCCCAGGCCCATTTCTGCAATACTAAATCTAACGCAGCATCGGACATCACCATGGTCGCTGGTCGCCGCTGTCTTGCACAGCAGCGGTCCACTTGTGAGTTGCTGGGACTTTAGGCTGCGGGGAAGCGGCAACAAAAGCAAGGGCAGGATGGCTAGGACGACGCTAGGAGTCAAAGGAGCGTGCCCCATCTAGGGATCCATCAAACAAAGCTAATGGTGCACCACCACGATACAAGTAGCGTGGGCACTCTAGAAACATGTGCATCTGTACGTGAATGTATGTGCATGTGATGCACCCCCCTAAGGCCCTAAGCACTGCACCTTGAAAGGTACTCCCCCTTTTCTTCGGATGTCCGGGTGGAGCCGAGTGGAGACGTGTTCCCTGCCATTCTGCCAGGTGAGGGATGGATCCTGCGAAGGTGTCGCCGTTGCTGAAGGTGTTGCCGTTGCTTCGAGTCTTGGGGTGTCTTTTTGTGGCTGGAAGGAGCTACCTGTACATTCCTAGAAGGCCGACATTCATGATCTGTTTTGTGTCCCTGGGTGCTCAGCAGCAAAGGGTTTGGGGAACTCCCGTTGGTCGCTCCGAGCGATCCGGTTCAAGAGTGGAACCGGGAAGAACTGGATACACCCGGAAGAGCCCGAATCGCACCAGCTGGGAGAACAACATGACATTGGGATTCGTGATCAAGAAGAGTATCCCTGACATGTTGCTAAGAAGCTTCAGGAGGAACACTCACCTGATACCCCCTGATTCTTGGAGAACCTCTTCATAACTTTGGATCCCAATATTGTCGGGGGGGGCGTTCACTTGCCGGACATCAAAAGCACAACCACACCCATTGCCATGTTTTCGCCTCAAACGCAAGATACACGCATGGACTGGTCCGCGTAACAAAAGCATTGCAAAGCAATGAGGTGCACGTTGGAATCCACCGGACACAGTCACAAAAAGGACCAACAAACAGTTCCCAGACTGAACCTGTCTGGTAACCCGGGTCGACCGGCAGCCCCGTTGACCCAGACGGTATGGACCGATTCGCCAGCCACCCATGGAGTGAAGCGCTTTGATGCGAACCCGAGGAATGGTTCTTGCGTCCTGTGTGGAAACTCCAAAAGAAGGTTCCCCAGATATTTATATATATATATATATGTATATATTATATATATATATGTATTCTATACTGACTTGCGGAGACGAACTTGCAAATAACTTTTATGATACTTGATGATACTTTATGTATGAGATTTCGACGTGTTCAGTAGGACATGTATGAAGCTGTTCTCTAGTGGAGCGTTTCATGCAGTTCCAAACGGAAGATCGAGGCTCCCCAATGTTGAAGACAAAGACCTCCTGGGCAGAACTCATACACGCTAACAATTGAGGGAAAGGACAACAAAGGAGCCCCTTTCTTTTCCTTTCCTTGCCTTTGCTGTCCTTTTCTTTTCCTGTCCTTGCTTCCTTGTCTTCCAGTTGAGCTGCGCGGGTGTTGACTATAAGACTACAGTATAAGGTATTATTTTGACCATCTGTGGTGCTTTCCATTGCTTTCCTTTCCATATCTCCTTTCCTCCCGGTTCCTTTTGTCCTAGAAGGAAAGCGGAGAGAAGGACAGAAAAGGAGGAAAAGCAACAAGGAAAGGACAGTAGTGGAAAACACATATCAAACATATTCAAGAGTTCTTCTACCAGCAACTCCCGAAATTGAAATAAAGTAGAGGGAAGGAGGACATATATAAACTTTAGTAGAGGAAAGGAGGCCATTGGCCATGAAAGGATAAACACAATAAATTAGTAAATGGGGGAAAATAACAGGAGTAAACGATACGTCAAACAATAAAAAATCAATATCATTCTACATCCTACCACCAGCAAGATTCAACAACAAATAGAGGACAGGATGTTGGAAAAGGAACATTGAAAAGGAGAGGAAAGGAAAGGTAATGATCTGTCTACAGTATGCATACCATCTTCTTTGTATGACATGCTCTCCACATGTTCAATCTCCGCAGCCTGCTTACAGTGTTCGCTGCGTGCTTTCCCCATGGACACCTGGGTCAACAAATGTTCTTTTTTGCGGCTGTCTAGACCAGCGCCGCTCGCGGAAAGACGCGGGAAAGCGGGTCTCCGAAATACACAGCCACATGGATGAACATGAGTCCGTGAGCCTACTTTCAATTAGGATTGGCGACTCCAAGGGCACCCCCTGCCAACCCTGGCGCTGGTTTGCGGCACATTCACCGTTGTTCGGCGGGATTGGCGCATGGTTCTCTCTATACAAAGCAAGCGAAAGGCACATGCATGCTGTAAATACATGGCTGTTGGGGTCTTTCTTAAGGAGAGCTGGAAGTAGCACCTCAACAGTCAGGGACCGCTGGCAGCTCCCGAGCTTCTCCCAAGTTGGAGCTCGTGTCCATGACCCCCAGCCATCGCAGGTCACACCAATGAGTGGTTTAAAGCCACCGGTTTAAAGCATGGGTCTTTTGGGTCGAACCTCTGTGGTTGTGACCGCGATGTCGAACTACGATAGGCTACATGAGATCCACTCTGTCGAAGGATCTCAATAAGGACAGTGCAACTCATCCGGGCAACTCGGTCGAAGAGGTGTCCAGAAGCCCGGTTCCCAAACCCAAACCCGTTTGGTTTCGGTGACACGCAATCACATTATATAAGGTCTTGAAGAACTCGACCTTGGTCATCAGAACTCTGTTTCACCTGGAAAGGTCATGGACACCAAACGTCTCTGACCTGTCCAAGTGAAATGGAGATCAATCAAAGCCTGGCCTCATCGAAAGACCAGCTGGTCGCCAAAGAAACGGCGAGAATGTTTGGCCAAAAGATCTAGGGTTACAACTGGGGAATTGAAAGCGATCGAAAGTGATTCGGAATCCCCATGGATTTCTGCAAATGTTCAACAAACAATGATACGATTTCACCTGGGTATACATGTTTAATTTGCCTGCACCAAGTGGCCCTTCGAATTCATGGCCGGTGAATGGTACACTCCCTCACCCACATGGAGCAGGAAACATGAACATTGCAAGGTACCACTGTTCATTTGGGGACATGCCATCCAGAATCCATGCCAAAGAATGCGAAACACTGCAAACAAAATACAGTATGTGATGCCCTAAGTTCCCTTTTAAAAAAAGAAATTATATTATACTATACTGTATATGGATTCCTTTTTGGCTACCTACCTGGCTGGGCAAATATTCCGGTCCCATAGATTGTCTGGGCAACGATTCTTCAGGTTGCTGAAAGTGATTTTTTTCCGTGTTTTGTCTCGAATCGGCCGGCGAGTCGCGAAGTAAATCAGCCATGCAGTGAATTCAGTCGTACTGAGGTTGGCCCTGCATGATGGGTTGACTCAACAAACGCACTCGCCGAGATGATGTCATCAACTCTTCATATCAAAACTTGGGATGTTTTGACGTTCCTTTTTCTGTAGACTCTTGATTGTAGTTCATTACCCCAGGCCTGAAGAGGTTTTTCAATCCATGTCTGGGGGAATATATTAATCAAGAGTTTACATGATCATGAAATCTTTGATAAATCGAAGTCAGACAGTCTGAACCCCCACCAGTGGGGGGGCGACACTCAACGACTCCTTCAGTCTGTTCGTCTTCCACTTCACCTGCGGCGCGCTCGCTTCGCCCCAACCCAGGAGACCAGTACCAGTGGTCTAGTGGTCCACCGTTTTCATTGACGTTATGTGTGGCCAACATGAGACATCGCAACAACTGACAGTATGATAGAGGGGGTATAGAAAATATTCATTATGGTATATGGGGTAGCGATGGAGTGTGCTTAAACCTGACTCAGGGTTGAAAAGCACTGGATGCCCGCAAGGTCAACTGAGTCAACTAGACCCGGTCACCATATTAGTTCTGGTCCAACATGTCTGTATAGAAGGTATTTTTGTATTTTCCTACATATGAGGTTGTGTAAAAAAAACGCTACCTTTCCCTATACCACTTTGACTATGTAGCTGCAACAAATGCAGTATAATGTAGTGTGTGCACTAAATACATGTGGTGTGTGGAACCTTGCAGGCATGAACACATTAGGCACACTTCAATCCAACTATACCCATGTGGTGGCCTGCCTACGGAAAAGTGATTTAGGTTTGCCGTGTTGTCGTTTTTGTTATGGTTTTGTTGTATCGTTTTCATGCCTGGTGAAAGTTGGAACACCATGTTGCACAACAATGCTGTAGCACAAGGCTACAGCGGTCCAAGCCCTCCCACCTCTGTCCAAGCACATACCCACCAACAGCAGTCATGCATTGACCCTGACAATTTGGAACAGTAGTAGGTTTTCTGTTTGTGTGTGCACGCGTTTCTTCACACCACTTCTCGCAGGTCAAGGGCTTTCCACAAGAGTCATCGGGGGTTATCGTTTTTTTCCTTATCGTTTTAAAGGGGATTGAGCATGCTTCCAGAAAAACGGACATGCGAATACAAATTTCTTACACGGGTTGTTTTGTACTCTCTCATATGTTGTGGTCCCAACATGTCTGTATCTCTCCCTACGTTCCTCGAACCGGTGTTCCTTCCCCTTCCATCCCCCCTGGGCGCCGGGTGTCGTCCCTCTTCCGGGCATCGCCCTGGGCGTTCGTCACGGACGGACCGAACCACCGAGATGGCCTGGGCCAGTCACTCTCAATCCAAAGAGAAGCCGCCACCACTGGGGGTAGGTCACCATCTCTGGTCAACGCTGCTGGGCAAAAAAACAGGGCTCTATCAGGGTCCTTGTTTTGGAGAATCGCCTTTTTTGTGGCCGGAGCTTTCACTTGCTTCTTCACCGGTTCTTCTATATCTTCTATCTGCACCATGGCATCCATGGCATGGGCTATGAAAACTGCCAATAGAAACGTATCAAAAACCGAACAATAACTGATTGACATCAAGTTATATAATGGACTCCAAAGAACAATAGAACATGAAGAAGCCATGGATGTGAGCCAAAAAGGTGCTGCTGTGGGTGCTGAAGCGACAACAGCAACTTTCTATTCTTGGGGAATCCTCTGTGTTGGAAGGGGTTATCTGTGCTTTTATAGAAGGCCACATTGACAATGACCTGATTTCTCTGGACACTCGGGTGAGGACTCTTTCTGCTGACCCGAAAACTATGCCCTCTTCCAATGACTTGTTGTCATCCCTCCTTGGACCAATGCCACGTACTAAGAAAATCCACAGTCCTTCCCATGGGCCAGTGTGCCATCATGTGCCATCATATCCACTCTAACGTCATCTCTGCCAAATATAAAGCTCGGAGATCAATCGAGATCAATCCTCTCAGTCTCTCCAGCAGCCTGAGCCCGCAACATCTGGCCTCCATGTCCCTTTTTGAACTCCCCCAAAAAAGAGAGGAACTCGTGGAATCCACCCTGATTCTCTACATCTGGACGGGTCCTGACTCTCTCTTTCTCTTTCGCAGCGCCGAACCGTCCGGCTCCGCTCCGCTCCGAGGTGCCGCGGGCGTCGAACTGCAGGTGGAGGGCGTGGAGCGGCCCTCGAGGAGTGTCAGCGAGCTCCCACGGCTGGCGGACACGGGGCGGCAAAGAACGGGGGGGACCGGTTGGGCCAGCGGAGGAGTCAATTATCCTGGTATGAGTGTGTAATTACAATATGTACTCATGTATATTACTATATGATGGATATGTCTGTGTACATGTGATTAGTGATAAGTATAGAAAAAATAGAAAAACATTACATAGACAAGCACCCTCCAACATGTGTTTTCAGGTGACAACATGTGCAAAAAAACATCGGTTGGGGTCCAAAAAAACAGCCTGTTGGAGGCTCCTGTTGTATCCCGGTTTTGAGGTTTTGACCGATTCTTCGTTGCATGATTCTGACAGGGGGGTTGGTATGGAATCCAGGAATGGTGTCAGGTGCTGCTTCTCACTCCAGCAATTGTTCATCAAGCATTTCATCTAGCATTTCAAGCCACTGGCAATGTGCGGTTGTAGGATTTGCCCCTTGGTTTGCAAAAGGATGCGCACCAAATACGGTAATATTACTAATTATACTATATCCGGTTTCTCTATTTTCAGGGTTAGTAACT